ACACGGAAAAACACACACTGAATATGGAAAAACACACACTGAACACGGAAAAACACACACTGAACACGGAAACAAGAAGATGGAAAAACACACGGAACACGGAAAAACACACACTAAATATGGAAAAACACACAGGAAACACAAAAAAACACACACTGAACACAGAAAAACACACACTGAACACAAAAAACACACACAAACACACTGAACACAGAAAAACACACACTGAACACGGAAAAACACACACTGAACACAGAAAAACACACACTGAACACAGAAAACACACACTGAACACAGAAAAACACACACTGAACACGAAAAACACACTGAACAGAGAAAACGCACAAACACACACACTGAACACGGGAACACGAACACGGAAACACACTCACACTGATCAGAATTCAGGTCACATTTTAAAGGCGTCTAAATCGTTCACATTCTTCCACTTAAATACCTGCAGACTTTATAATTTGACTGTCGAACCAGAACGAGACACTTTCTCACACGACTCATTTCACACAAACATGACCGACGTGTTTCTCTGTTTCTCTGTTTTTAGGTCATTCAACATTTTAGAGTTTCATCCTGACAAGACTTTTTTGTAAGCAAAAACAAGCAGAGCGTTTACTGACATTTTGAGCTCGTTAACCAGAGTTCGCTTATTGTTTTATTGTGTAGAGCCTGTTGGTTTTAAACACAGGGAGTTTCTTGTCAAAACACTGAAGCCACCAGAGGGCGCCCAAGAACACCCACTTTTTTTTACTGCCATTTATGAAAAAAAAAAAAAAAAATGCATTTAAATGTTAGGCGATCGCAGTGTCGGGAACTACAGTTGTAATCACATCTTTCCCCACGTCTTCCTGGTTTGTGATGTAAGTATGAATAGAACTTATTCCTAACTACCTTCTAATCATTACAACCATGAAAAGCGATTTATCTTCAGACATCGTTATCTTATCTGCAGTTGTTAAAGTGCATGTAGAAAGCCGCGCTCTCAACAGGAGCCTCCAGGCCTCCGTAGAAACGCGAAAACATTCAGAACCGAGGTTGGTGCCGTTTGCTCAGTGACAGAAGAGTGAAGTAAAGCAGCAGTGGTCCCCAAACTTTTTTGCACCACAGACCAGTTTTATATCCAACAATATTTCCTGGACCGGAGGAGGTTGGGGGAGGCGCGGTGCGCAGTCCCCGCAGCATGGTTAAGTCCTGGCTAAGTCCTGTTTTAGTCTTGTTTTAGTCCTGTTTTAAGACCTGTGTTAGAACTGTTTTAAGACCTATTTTAGACCTGTTTTAGGTCCTGTTTTAGTACTGTTTTAGACCCTGTTTGAGACCCTGTTTGAGACCCTGTTTGAGACCCTGTTTGAGACCTGGTTTTAAGACCTGTTTTAAGACCTGTTTTAAGACCTGTTTTAGACCCTGTTTTAGACCCTGTTTTAGTCCTGTTTTAAGACTTGTTTTAGACCTTGTTTTAGAACTGTTTTAGACCTGTTTTAGACTCTCTTTTAGTTCTGTTTTAAGACCTATTTTAGACCTGTTTTAGACCCTGTTTTAGACCCTGTTTTAGACCCTGTTTTAGACTCTGTTTTAGACTCTGTTTTAGACTCTGTTTTAGACTCTGTTTTAGACTCTGTTTTAAGACCTGTGTTAGAACTGTTTTAAACTCTCTTTTAGTCCTGTTTTAAGACCTATTTTAGACCTGTTTTAGGTCCTGTTTTAGTACTGTTTTAGACCCTGTTTTAGTCCTGTTTTAGTCCTGTTTTAGAACCTGTTTTAGTTCTGTTTTAGTCCTGTTTCAAAGCTGTTTTAAGACCTATTTTAGACCCTGTTTTAGTCCTGTTTTAAGACTTGTTTTAGACCTTGTTTTAGAACTGTTTTAGACTCTCTTTTAGTTCTGTTTTAAGACCTATTTTAGACCTGTTTTAGGCCGTTTTAGTCTGTGTTTAGACCCTGTTTTAGACCTGGTTTAAGTTCTGGTTTAAAGGCGTGGTCAGTGCGGCACACGGGATGTGGGGACGTGCATTTGCGGCCCGGTACCGGTCCCCAGCCCAGGGGTTTGGGGACTCCTGCAGTAAAGGACACCACCACTACAACCATGTTTCAAACAGAAGTGAAGAGAAACCTGGAGTATTTGGATATAATTCAAAACCACTTGTTTAAACTTTGGACACATGATGGTTTTAGTTTTCACTGGTCAACCGCTGTTTGCCTTGATGGCCCTGACCGCACGCCACTGGTCCCTACAATCCCTAGTATTTTTATTTGATGTTGGTAATGCAAATGTATATAATTGGCCCGATCGCAGCCACACTTTAGCCCGAAGACCCCAACATAACTTTTCTTACTGCCCCCTGAAGGCCTGGACCAGTACTGTTCGGAAAGAGGGACTCACCGTGGTTGACGGCGAAGCGCAGTTTCTGGATGACGGCGAGATTCCCACTGACCCTGTACAGACCGTCCACGCTCAGACCTGCAAAGGATCATGGGAAAGGAACATTAAACAAACATGGGACTTGCTGCTGAGTGCTGAGACTTCAGAAAAAAGTGCGTTTTAAACACAAATAAACTAAACTTGTATATCGATCACATTTATGTACTTGATTTTGAATTCTAACAATCGACTCTTCTGCAATTAAACCAACCGACCAACCACATTTAGACGACAGCTTTAATTCCAAATAAAGATTAATTCCACTTAAAAAAAAAAACATGTACACTCTTAGCTCCTAATCACTCCTAAAGAAAATGATTATTCGGAATTAAACTTAATTTCGAACACATTTTTGTTGCCTGAAAACTGAGAGAAATGTTGAGATTAGAGGTGTAAAAACAGGGACTCTACAGATTTTATAAACAACACCATGTGCCTGAAATACTTGGTTATCTTTGTAAGTTTTTGTAAAGTCTTTGTAAATTTTTTGTTAAGTCGTAGAGGTGTTGTCGTGTGTGAAGCGACCCACCGTTGGTCTCCACGTGTTCGATGCAGAGTTTGACGAATCGCGGGACGCTGGAGTTTTCCCGTTGGCACAGACTGGACAGACTGCAGCCGAACACCTGGTCTGGAGACAACAGCACAGACAAAAAAACTCAAAAACACAGTTTTAAAACTGTGAAAATGAGCAAAACTAACTCAAGGTCGCCACACACTACAGGAGAATTTACACGATTAAACCAGGACTAAAACAGGTCTAAAACCAGGTCTAAACCAGGTCTAAAACCAGGTCTAAACCAGGTCTAAAACCAGGTCTAAACCAGGTCTAAAACCAGGTCTAAACCAGGTCTAAACCAGGACTAAACTAGGACTAAACCAGGACTAATCCAGGACTAAATCAGGACTAAAATCAGGTCTAAACCAGGACTATAAGAGGACTAAAACAGGACTAAAACCAGGACTAAATTTAGGACTAAAACCAGGTCTAAACCAGGTCTAAAACAGGACTGAACCAGGACTAAACCAGAACTAAACCAGGACTAAACCAGGTCTAATCCAGGACTGAACCAGGACTAAAACCAGGTCTAAACCAGGACTAAAACCAGGACAAAATTTAGGACTAAAACCAGGTCTAAAACAGGACTAAACCAAGACTAAACCAGGTCTAAATTTAGGACTAAAACCACGACTAAACCAGGACTAAAACCAGGACAAAACCGTTTTTAGTCCTGGTCTGGTCCCAGTCTCAGTCCCGGTCTCAATCACGGTCTGGTCCTGGTCCTGTTCCCGGTCTCACTCCTGGTCCTAACGACAAATTGTAGAAAGAAAACACATCTGCATGGAGACGAGAAAACCACAAAAAAAAGTTACCCTGGACCTGAGGAGACACATTTAATACTTAATACTATAAAAACATTTACATAGTTTTAAATGGACTAAAGTCTTTATCCGCCAGCAGGGGGCGCTGTTACCTTTGATATAACCCTTGTCCCGGACGGCCTGCAGAGTCGGGCGCCTCGTCAGGAACTTCTTCAGCTTGTGTTTGGTTTTGTGCTCGGACACGTCGAGGCTGCTGCCGCTCTTCAGACCTGCACAGCGATGGTTATGAACATTATTTAACACGTTTTCATCTGGCAGCACTTTACTCGGCTTCTTTTGTGTTTTATCACATGTGAAAACAGCGAACACACTGAAAATACATCACAGAATCATGAGGAGCGCTGAAAAACATGACGTTATCTTTCACAAAAGGTTCAACACCAAAAGGAAAAACAGTTAGAACTTCAGATTTCATATTTTCTTACACATTTTACTTCTGTTTCCAGTGTTTGTTATGATTCATATCTGTAGTTTAATCCCCGACCTCCGTGTAATCTGCATTTAATCGACGATAAATGATAAAACTGAAACTGTGTGTGACCTCTGACCTTTCTCTTTCTTGGAGTCCCTGTGCTCGTGTTTGTCTTCTCGTCCCGGAGACTCGGGCAGGTCATCGTCCATCCCCTCGTCCGACTCCCAGGCCTAAAAAACGTGACAGTTTTATGATCCATGTAAACCGTGTGACCTCACAGTATTAGGATTCTCATACTCACGTGCGCGCTCTCATACTCACGTGCACGCTCTCATACTCACGTGCACGCTCTCATACTCACGTGCACGCTCTCATACTCACGTGCACGCTCTCACACTCTCATACTCACGTGCATGCTCTTTCGTACTCACGTGCATGCTCTTTCGTACTCACGTGCATGCTCTTTCGTACTCACGTGCGCGCTCTCACACTCACGTGCGCGCTCTCACACTCACGTGCGCGCTCTCACACTCACGTGCGCGCTCTCACACTCACGTGCGCGCTCTCACATTCCCGTGCACGCTCTCATACTCTCATGCACGCTCATACTCTCGTGCGCTCTCACACTCTCATACTCACGTGCACGCTCTTTCGTACTCACGTGCGCTCTTTCGTACTCACGTGCGCGCTCTCACACTCACGTGCGCTCTTCACACTCACGTGCGCTCTCACACTCACGTGCGCTCTCACACTCACGTGCGCGCGCTCTCACACTCACGTGCGCGCTCACACTCTCGTGCGCGCTCTCATACTCACATGCACGCTCTTTCGTACTCACGTGCGCGCTGATGCAGTCCTGCAGCGCTCGGAGCCACTCTTGGACCAGGGCCTCGTTGTCGGACTGGATCAGGACCTCGGTTCCCTGACGCGTCTTCAGCTGAAACAAAACGAATGTCAAACCTCCACGAAACCACAGAGTCGGAGTTTAAATACGACTTCTTCGGCAATATCGACTTTCCTGTTTTTGTGCAGAGGCAAAAACACTGAAGAATGAGACTCTGAAACGGTAAATTACTCGACTAAATACATGTGTTCGTTAAGTGGAGTTGTAGACCGTGCACTGGCCAATCAGAGAAGTTCTTCTTCTTCACTTGCCGCTTTATTGGTCCATCGGAAAATAGAGTCCCGCGGTCACTTCTGTTGCGGCTTGTTAATGTGTTGTGGCTTTTTAATGTGTTGTGGCTTTTCTGATGTGTTGCGGCTTGTTAATGTGTTGCGGCATTTGCATTTGTGTTGTGGCTTTTTAATGTGTTGTGGCATTTGTGTTTGTGTTGTGGCTTCTTCATGTGTTGCGGCATTTTAATGTGTTGTGGCGTTTGTATTTGTTGCGGCGTTTGCATTAAAATAGAGTCTTGCGGTAATTTCCATTGTGGTTTTTTAATGTGTTGTGGCTTGTTAATATGTTGTGGCTTTTTATGTGTTGTGACTTTTTAATGTGTTGCAGCATTTGCGTTTGTGTTGTGGCATTTGTGTTTGTTGCAGCGTTTGCATTAAAATAGAGTCTCGCGGTCATTTCCGTTGTGGCTTTTGTTGTTTTGTTGTTGTTTTTGTCGTGTTGTGGCATTTGCATTTGTTGTGGCGTTTGCGTAATGTAATAATCTGTAATAAACCGGAGAGTGTGTCGTTACCTCCACGACGTGCTTCTTGCTGGAACGATCTTTGGGCGCCCAGTCCACAGACGCTCCCCTCAGATCCACCGTCAGCTCCGGTTTGGACTGACCCCCGAACTGCAACGACAACAACAACACGGTCTAGACCTGATCCCAGCCCGGTCCGAGTCCAGTCCTGGTCCAAACCGGCTCTAGTCCTGGGCCAGTCCTGGTCTGTGTTTACACCAAAATAAAAGTTCTAGGTTTTCTAAAACGATTATCGAAACCAAATACTCATTTTTCGCAGGTATCGATACTAAAAACTTGACAGGACAGAGCAGAAATGTTCCTGAATGTGTTTAGAAAAGCACAGAGACTAGGACCTGATTTAGACCTGGTTTACACCTGGTTTACACCTGGTTTACACCTGGTTTACACCTGGTTTAGACCTGGTTTAGACCTGGTTTAGACCTGGTTTAGACCTGGACCACTATGGAACCTACCTGAACCACTGAGGGATTATACAGATATAAGACACATGGGACTAGAACTAAACCAGGACTAACCCAAGACTAAACCAGGACCAAGCCAGGACCAAACCAGGACTAAACCAGGATTAAACAAGGACTAAACCAGGACTAAACCAGGATTAAACAAGGACTAAACAAGGACTAAACCAGGTCTAAACCAGGTCTAAACCAGGACTAAACCAGGACTAAACCAGGGCAAAACCAGGACTAAACCAGGACTAAACCGGGACTAAACCGGGACAAAACCAGGGACTAAACCAGAACTAAACCAGGACTAAACCAAGACTAAACCAAGACTAAACCAAGACTAAACCGGATCTAAACCGGGACTAAACCAGGACTAAATCAGGACTTACCCAGGTCTATATATATGTGTGCATATGTGAGACTCACCCAGCTGCTGCCCCCTGTCTGTCCTTTGGTGAACAGCAGCGTGGAGCCCTGCAGCACCGTCCACGAAGACGTCCAGTTTTTCCTGAACACAAAACTCGGGATTAGAAATAAAAACGTGAAAAGTCCTTCGAGTGTTAAAGACGAGATCTAAAAACGCAAAAACTGTTTTAATTTCTCCCAATAAAAATCCTACCTGACTTTCTTTCCGTTCTCTGTGATCTTGGTCATGTTCAGGACGCCGCATTTTTCAGACGGCTGCAACAGAAAGAGACGGAGACAGAGAGATAAGAGAAGGAAAAACAAGAATATTTACATTTACAAAACTAAGAACAGAATCCGTCAAACCGTCACCGACAGAAACACAGACAGAAAAACCACCTCAAAGTTTATATTTTCACGGTTTCACGGTCCATCAACATTCCACATTTGATGGATTTTCATGATTTATTTTTTGTTTGGACGTCATATTTACAAAGCTGCTGAGTCTCCATAACGATATTTTTGAACTTTCATCGACAATTTAAAACAAAAAACAAATCCTCCATTCGACTTTTAATCATGTTTACTTTGTTTTAACGAAATGTGGCCGAAACCTGTCACATGCACAAAGCGTCTCTCCGCGCTCGATCGTTTTTCTCTCCGCGCTCGAACGTTTCTCTCGCCGCACTTGATCCTCCGCACTCGATCGTTTCTCTCTCCGCACTCGATCGTTCCTCTCGCCGCACTCGATCGTTTCTCTCCGCACTCAATCTCTTCTCTCTCTGCGCTCGATCGTTTCTCTCGCCGCACTTGATCCTCCGCACTCGATCGTTTCTCTCCCCGCGCTCGATCGTTTCTCTCCCCGCGCTCGATCGTTTCTCTCCCCGCGCTCGATCGTTTCTCTCCCCGCGCTCGATCGTTCCTCTCACCGCGCTCGATCGTTCCTCTCTCCGCGCTCGATCGTTTCTTCTCTCCGCGCTCGATCGTTCCTCTCTCCGCGCTCGATCGTTTCTCTCTCCGCGCTCGATCGTTTCTCTCTCCGCGCTCGATCGTTCTCTCGCATCGTTTCTCTCTCCGCGCTCGATCGTTTCTCTCTCCGCGCTCGATCGTTCTCTCTCCGCGCTCGATCGTTTCTCTCTCCGCGCTCGATCGATCGTTCTCTCTCCGCGCTCGCTCGATCGTTTCTCTCCGCGCTCGATCGATCGTCATCGTTCTCTCTCCGCGCTCGATCATTTCTCTCCGCGCTCGATCGTTTCTCTCCCCGCGCTCGATCGTTTCTCTCTGCGCTCGATCATTCCTCTCTCTGCACTTGATCGTTCCTCTCTCCGCACTCGATCGTTTCTCTCTCTGCACTCGATCGTTTTTCTCTCGCCGCACTCGATCCTCCGCACTCGATCGTTTCTCTCTCCGCACTCGATCGTTTCTCTCTCCGCACTCGATCGTTTCTCTCTCCGCACTCGATCGTTTCTCTCTCCGCGCTCGATCGTTTCTCTCCGCACTCGATCGCTCTTCTCTCCGCACTCGATCGCTTCTCTCTGCACTCGATCGTTTTTCTCCCCGCACTCGATCATTTCAGGCATTTCTCATTCGCTCTCAGTCACACTCTAAAGAAGGAGAGACGCTTCACCCGCCCCGGGGCAGACCAACGCACATGTGGCTGCCGATCTGCACCAAAAGCCTCCGCCACAACCACCACCAGCCAAACACCAAGACACAAGCTGAAAAAGTGTAAGAAGTGCCTTGCCCAAGGACACACCAGCTCGACCCAGTGCTGCGCTCGACCGCCCCAAAAGTCAGAAGAAGCGAAAGTGTCCAGAGGCGACGTCGCTCTGGTCGTGGTGGATGTTTTTTGTTTGTTTAGAGTTTTATTTTACGGTGTAAGAAACAGATTTATTTTTTTTTAAGTTACTTCTGCTGACGTCGTGCTGTCGCTCCACATTCCCTCGTAAAACTACAGGTGTAACGGAAAAACGTACGGAAAACTAAAAACTCAAATGAGAAATTTAACAGGGTTTAAAATTCTAAATCTGATTAAATAAATTGTCTTCCATCGTTGACCACTTCAAAATATTTTCCTTAAAGTAACCTTAACCTAAACCCTAACCTAAACCTTAACTTAAACTTTAACCCTCACCTAAACCATAAACCTAAACCAAACCCCAAACTAACTTTAACCAACCTATAACCTAAACTAAATCCTAAGATATCCTTAACCAAACCGTAACCTGATTTAAACCCTCGCTTAAACCATAACCAAAACCTAAACCAAACCCTAAACGCTGACCAAACCCATAAACTAAACCAAACCTTAACCTAAACTTTAACCAACCCTAACCTAAACCAAACCTTTAACCTAAACCACACCCTAACCTTAACCAAAACTAAACCGTAACCTAACTTTAACCAAACTATAACATAATCTTAACCAAACCCTAACCTAAACCTTAACCAACCCATAACCTAAACTAAACCCAAACCTAACCTAGACCAAACCCGAACCCATAAACTAAACCAAACCCTAACCTTAACTAACCTGTAGACTAAACCTAAACCTGACTCAGTTTCCTGACTTTACCAGATAAACCGTGTAAACTCTCCCGTCTCCAAACGTTCCAGGGCCCGTCCCTCCCGACCCCACATTCTGAACCCTGTATGAACCTGCAGGAACAGGCCTCCGCACTTTTATGACTCCACGTTTTGTTCTGTGGCGTAAGACGAGAAAAGGCTCACGGGCGAAAACACGAACACGTCGGCCGCTCCAGCTCCCCAAAAAAAAATTATCTGACTTTAAATCTCAGAAACAGAAAACCCAAATCTGTTCCTCAAATGACGTCCCTCCGGAGGGCACCGTCACTAATTTTTCCCAGTTTTATTCAAGAAATCTCACTTTTTGTGTTGCTATTTTTGACCAATCTGATCTAAACCAAGGACTAAATGAAGACTAAAGCAGGACTAAATCACTTTTTTGACTAATCTGATCCACGCCAACAGGAAAGAGGAGCATAATTTGTCGTTTCTTGGGCCAAAATGCAGAAATCTGTGTTTGTGAACGATCGTAAAGCAGAAATATGGAGCGACAGAAATCTGGAAATGTGCCGTTTAATCTGAAAAGTTTCCAGCGCACACGCATGTAGAACACCCCCAGAGTGACGTCACAGTGTGTGTGTGTGTGTGTGTGTGTGTGTGTTTTGGTACTGACAGATGTGGGAGAGTCCGGAACTTGGACCCTGAGACCTGCTGCAGGATCCTGGACACAAGAGATCAGAGTCAGACCAGAGTCAGACCGGAGTCAGACCGGAGTCAGACCGGAGTCAGACCGGAGTCAGACCGGAGTCAGACCGGAGTCAGACCGGAGTCAGACCAGAGTCAGACCAGAGTCAGACCAGAGTCAGACCAGAGGCCAGACCGTGATGAGACCGGAGTCAGACTCAGAGGAGGATTTATGTGATGTTTCAGGTTTGATTTTGGTCTGAATGAGATTTGGAATCAGTTTTAAAATCAGGATAATTTGATTATTTTTGTTATTTTTGGATTCAAAGCTGCAGTTTCGTCTGTTTCATTTGTCGTCCAGGTAGAATCTGTGGCAGAGGAGAAATTCAATTTGGACAAAGTTTGTTTGGTTTTTTTGGTTGAATCCGTTTCTCATCCAAGCTGAGTCTTCAGTTGTGGTCAGACGCTGGTGGACACTGCTCGCCTCGGTCTTGAAGGTGCTTGGACTCGGTCTTGTCTCGGTCTTGAAGGTGCTTGGACTCAGGGTCTTGTCTCGGTCTTGAAGGCGCTTGGACTCGGTCTTGTCTCGGTCTTGAAGGCGCTTGGACTCGGGGTCTTGTCTCGGTCTTGAAGGCGCTTGGACTCGGGGTCTTGTCTCGGTCTTGAAGGTGCTTGGACTCGGTCTTGTCTCGGTCTTGAAGGCGCTTGGACTCGGTCTTGTCTCGGTCTCAAGGTCTGACACTCGACAAGTGATAATACTGAATAATAATAATATGTAAAATAGAAATAAATGTTGAAAATGACAAAGATGGTCTTGATTCGGTCTCGATGGGCTGTGGTCTTGGTCTTGTCTGAATCTCGGGGTTTAAAAGTCTCAGTTTTGTCTTGGTCTCAACCTTCAGTGGTCTTGGTCTTGTCTCAGTCTTGGGACCCTGTGGTCTGGGACTGGTCTTGGTCTCGATTAGTGCGGTCTTCATCACAACACGAGGAAGATATACAATATAAAAGATATAAAACAGTGTCTGATCTGAAGAAGCAGTGTGGATGAATCCGAAACGTATTTGACAAAAAAAACCAAAAACTTTTGTTGACAAATTGAATTTCTCCTTTTGCCGTTGTTCTCCTGAGAGTGCAGGAGTGTTTGTTCAGCGTCCTTCAGTCTGATCTGTGTTTAACTCTGACGTAACAGTTCCTGGGTCAGTTTTATGATAAAGACAAACAGAGATATCAGAGAAGGACACTGTGTTCGAGTCTTTTGTTTGTCATTCGCTGCGTTCGACGTCGGAATCTTTCATTGTTATTCACAATTATCTGTTGTCTGATCACAGTTTCATGCTGATTAAAAGTGTAATCGTCTTGACTTTTACAGATTGAAAAGCAGAAGATCGGTTGTGTGTGTTTTGATTTGATTTGCGCCGCAGACGGAGCAGAGTGCGGCGCAGTGACGAGGATCACTGACTCTGAGCGGCGGGTACGGCTGCAGACGAGCCGAGCCCCAACGCACACGCCGCGATTTCAGACGCTGCAAGAAACACTTTAAACACTTTAAACTCTGTAAGAAACACTTGAAACACTTTAAACTCTACAAGAAACACTTTAAACACTTTAAACTCTACAAGAAACACTTGAAACACTTTAAACTCTAAAAGAAACACTTGAAACACTTTAAACTCTACAAGAAACACTTTAAACACTTTAAACTCTAAAAGAAACACTTTAAAGGGTTTCTTGCAGTGTTTAAACACTTTAAACGGACGTAGCTCTTTTATTATCAACCAACACATAGAAATAACAGACTGTGTGTGTGTGTGTGTGTGTGTGTGTGTATTGTGTGTGTGTGTGTGTGTGTGTGTGTGTGTGTACCTTCTCGGTGGGCTCCAGGATGTGTGTACTGTGTCTCCACTTGGTCAGGACGATGGGGTCGACGTTGCGTCGGTCCAGACTCCGGGTTTTGGCTCCGTCTGTGTTCAGGTTTGGAGGCGAATGATTCAACTGAAGAACACAAGAACAACACACAATCACACACACACAAACACACACACACACAACAGTACAGTGTGTGAGTGTGTTACAGACACAAGTGGAACTCAATGACAACAAACATTTTACAGAGAAAAACATTCAGAAAACTGAACCCTTAGAATTTAACAGTTTAATCTCAGAGGCACAAAAGAATTTGAGAACAGGTTTGTCTGTCGTACTGGAGCAGAAAACCGACGCCCTGAAGGCTTCAGGATAAAGTCAGGACCTGGAGGACGGAGGAGCTGAGACACGAGACACTTCACTTTAATCAACACAGAGAACACAGCTCCCTCAAGATCAGGATTTAAGGGAGGTGTTCATGTCCCACCAGGAGGAAGCCCCGGGAAAGACCCAGGACACACTGGAGGGACGATGTCTACCTTCAGTCTGCACCTGAAGTGACCCAAATCTGATTTTTTGGCCCCTATGTTTCTGTATCTGATCTTTTAATGTCAGTCTGAACCACACAGATCCAATTTTTTCCAAATACGACCCAGGACACTGAAAACTGATCCATATCTGATCTTTAACATGTGACTTCAGTGTGAACGGTCAGGTCACATTCATCCACCTACACGTTATCAACAAGACACAAACGTCACTATTCTGCGCTGAAGTAGGAGAAAACTGTTAATGAACTCTGTGTGACTGAAGTGAAGCACATCTCCACTCACCACAAAACACCACGACCAAAAACCTCGTCCTTCTCCTTCTCAATCTCCTCCTTAAAACAAGTCAGTTGTTCATGTTGTGGCTCCGGTACGAGAGGAACTTTAAAATCTCCAGGTGCTCGATGCTGCGTCCATGTTTGGACAACTTGTGTAAACACAGAGACGCTCGCTGCGGTTGACGTCGTCGTGTCTCCAGTGTCACATGTGGGACACTTTCGGACCGTTTAATGTTCACACTGGAGTCACATACAAGTCACATTTAACTGGAAATGTGAACGACCTCGAAAAAACATCAGATTTCACAAAAAAATCTGAATTGAGCGTTAAGCCCTGCAGTCTGAACGTAGCCTAAGTCTCTGGACTGGACTGGGAACACCTCAGGTTCCCCCAGAGGAGCTGGAGGAAGTGTTTGGGGTGAAGGAAGTACACGTAAAAGAGCGTTCGCCCAGAAGGTGGTGCATAAACAAGACCGACCCAACTGAAGAAAAGAGCTACATGTGGTGCCTCAGACACTTTAATCTAAAGACCGACACGTTACAGGATTTTTTTTTGTTTTAAATGATTTTTAAAGTGTATTAAAAAGTGCAGACCACAGACACGAGGAGAATCTGATCAGATTTTAAATCTCCGATCACAAAGACTGCAGTGGGATCTGTGTGTAAATAAATGTGAGAGTCTGTGATGGCGTCAGATGTTTCCTGTCTCCAGTGGCTCTGAGATTCTGAAGTGTCAAAGATCAGACTTTGCACTTCTAGTTTTTATAATTATTTGTGAAATGTGGAGCAAAACTTCAGATACATGAGAAGAGAAGCAAATCGCAGCAGAAATCAGACAAATCCTCCTGTAGCATGAGGCGCCTTTTAGTGTCACAAAAATAAACCCAGTAAAATAAAAAAAAGTACCTTGGGCAGTTCCCACTCAGACCTGGAGGCGTCGGCGGTCGCGTAAAACGGTCGTCCTCGCTCGCCGTCGGGCTTCAGCCACTGACCACAAACAAACAAACAAAAACAAACAAATGACGTTAAATGAGAGTTTTTTTTTGTATTTAAAACAATAAAACACCATCAAAATAGATTTAACTTAAACACAACGGACTCCAGGCGCTCCACAAAAGTAGAAAAAGTAAAAAAAATCTGAAAAATATAGTTAAAAGGCCAAAGTCGACATGTTTCGACATTGACTGCTCTTCATCAGGGCTTCCTTCAAGACGATTTTTTTACTTTTTCTACTTTTTTGTTGTGTGTAAGTTTTGATCCTTTTTCCAAGAGCATCTTCTACCTGCTCCGACTGACTGGAACAACCTGAAGCAAACAGTCACATTTGTGTTCCTTCTACCATCAAAACAGAATCTGACTGTCAAATCTTTTTTAAATGTCAAATGTCAAAGTCGGCTTGACCCTGACCTGCCGTGTGTTCATGTTGTGACTGTAGCTTCTTATTGTAGTTTTGTTGACGTTGTTGGGGCTCGGATTGTCGTGTATTTTTTGTGTATGTCTCTGTGTGATGGATAGAATTATTATTTGATGCTCCTGACCCCCAATTCACACCAAAGCCCAACGGCGCGTAAGTGCAGCAGCACAGCACACGAGCAGCAGACACGCAGCTTTACAACTCCATTTGAACCGGTCTGACAGTGTAACACCGACAGAGTCATACACACGTCCAACGAGCGTCTGACGCTGACGCTGCTCCAGAGGTTGGAGTTCTAATTTTGCAGCGTCAACGGCGCGTCTCCAAGTTTTTAGCAGGGGAAAGACAGGAAATAAACACGTGATGTCAAAATAAACTTCCGATGCCCTTTCAAAATAACGTAACCAAAGTCAAGACAACGACGTAAACAACGCACACTGTGTCCAAGGAAATGTTCATGAAGGACGACGAAAAGTTCATCCTCGAAGTGGAGAAATAGAACGTGATTTATGATGTCAGACACCAATTCTACAAGGACTCAGGACTAAGTCAGGACTAAACCAGGACTAAACCAGATCCAAAACTCACTGTCTGAATGTGCTCAGAGGTCCTTCCGTGTCGACCAGAGTGACCGCGGGCGAAAGGACCGGTGCAGAGCTCGGAGACGAGGCGGTACGTGCAGCAGTCGCTGTTTTCGGACACACTGCTCCACGAGGCTCAGGGTTCACTTTCTCTCTCTCCAAGATTAGTCCTGGTTTAGACCTGGTTTAGACCTGGTTTAGTCCTGGTTTAGTCCTGGTTTAGTCCTGGTTTAGTCCTGGTTTAGACCTGGTTTAGAAATGGTCCAGAATGATAAAACTCGCCCGTTTCAGCGACTATTTGCCCGTATCCTTCGGTGCATTACTCTGTATCCACATATAAACGTATCAGCCTTATTATCTGGACGGACATAAGATTTTAATCACACTCATAATGTTTGTTAATTATAGGTGATTTTACCTTATTAAAGAAAAAAAACAAAACAAAAAAACTGCGGTGTTTAATGTGCGTGTTAATAGATTTAAACCTCATTAAACGCAAACGTGTTGCAGTTGTACTTAATTCACATTCTACCTTAATACACTTTAGAACATAAAATAAATGATAAAAAGCAAGTACAAAATGTGATGTCTGAAAACAGTGAAGATGTGCAGGCTGCAGCAGGAGCGTCTCTGGTGTGAATTGAAACTTTGAAATGTACATGTACGAGCAGCTCCGCCTACGTTTAACGCTGCTGCAGCTCCTGGTGTGACTTCGGGGTCATTCTTGCTGCTTCAGTCAAATTTTATTAGATAGCCGCTCAATTTGGTGGACAAAATTGTTGGTGGCACCTGGCGGCAACTTCAGAATCTGGTCTCACCTCTGCACCTGGACCGAGCCCGCTGCCGCCGCCGCCGCCGCCGCCGCCGCCGCCGCCTCCGCCCCCTCCTCCTCCCTGGTCCCGGGCGCGCGGCGGTTTCCACGTGCGCTCCCCCGTGCTCTGGTTCACGTAGTAGAGGCGTCCGTTCGGGTCCCGGTGGGTGTCCCAGTCACCGCAGGACGACAGGGGCGCACCTGACGGCTGGGGGGGCGCCGAGGACCCGCCCAGCCTCAGGTCCTGCAGGTTTGAGTGGAGCGAGTCCGAACCCGACTGTGGAAAAACAAGAGGACCAGTCAGAAGAGTCACAGGGACAGGAGCAGACAGGAGCAGACAGGAGCAGACAGGAGCAGACAGGAGCAGGCAGGAGCAGACAGGAGCAGGCAGGAGCAGACAGGAGCAGGCAGGAGCAGACAGGAGCAGGGAGCAGGAGCAGGGAGCAGGCAGGAGCAGGCAGGAGCAGACAGGAGCAGACAGGAGCAGGCAGGAGCAGACAGGAGCAGACAGGAGCAGACAGGAGCAGGCAGGAGCAGGCAGGAGCAAGTGCAGCAGACATGACCCAATATCGAATAGTTTGATATGGCGGTGGTGTCATGATTCGATACTCGCGTTGATTCGATACTCGCGTTGGGTCGATACTCGCGTTGGGTCGATACTCGCGTTGGGTCGATACTCGCGTTGGGTCGATACTCGCGTTGGGTCGATACTCGCGTTGGGTCGATACTCGCATTGGGTCGATACTGGTATCATGATTCGATACTCATGTTGGGTCGATACTCGTGTTGATTCGATACCCGCGTTGATTCGATACTCGCGTTGGGTCGATACTGGTATCATGATTCGATACTCATGTTGGGTCGATACTCGTGTTGATTCGATACCCGCGTTGATTCGATACTCGTGTTGGGTCGATACTCATGTTGATTCCATTCTCGCATTGATTCAATACTTGGGTTGATTTGATACTGGTATCATGATTCGATACTCGTGTTGGGTTGATACTGGTATCATGATTCGATACTCGTGTTGGGTTGATACTGGTATCATGATTCGATACTCGTGTTGTGTTGATACTGGTATCATGATTCGATACTCGTGTTGGGTTGATACTGGTATCATGATTCGATACTCGATACTGATTCGTACTCGTGTTGGGTTGATACTGGTATCATGATTCGATACTCGTGTTGATTCGATACTCGTGTTGATTCGATACTCGTGTTGATTCGATACTCGTGTTGATTCGACACTCGCGTTGATTCGACACTCGCGTTGATTCGACACTCGCGTTGATTCGATACTCTTGTTGATTTGATACTGGTATCATGATTCGATACTCGTGTTTATTCGATACTCGCGTTGGGTCGACACTCATGTTCCTTCATGTTTTCTCTCTGTTGTCGTTTATTTATTTTCTTTCCTCAAGTTGAGGTCAAACGGCTCCAACCTGCTGCACAACATTCTGCTCTCTACCGCCGACTAACTCTCTCTCTCATCACTCTCTCAGCTTTCTCTCTTTCTCTCTTTCTATGTTTCTGTCTCTCTCAGAAGTGAGTTCAGGGTTTTGGCCTCCAAAGTATTTTCTGTCTCTCCTGTCCTGATCTGTGGGAAAAAAACAGCGTCTGAGAAACGACTTCATCACATCATCACATCATTGTGGAGCATGAAAACCACAGGTGAGGTTTGACTTTGACGCAACACCGCAGACACGAACGTCACAAACGTCACAAACGTCACAAACGTCACAAACGTCACAAACGTCACAAACGTCACAAACGTCACAAGGTAGTCCTGTTTTAGTCCTGTTTTAGTCCTGTTTTAGTCCTGTTTTAGTCCTGTTTTAGTCCTGTTTTAGTCCTAGTTTAGTCCATTATCCATTTTTTCCATTTTTCATTTAAACACAAAATCAAAAACAGAAAAAATAAATCTTTATCGTTTTTTTTTTTTTGTTTTTTTTTTTTCATTTTGGTTTTGGAGACAAATAATGAAGAAAATAGTTGTTTTTTTAGTTTTCTTATTTTTGGTTTTAATTTGAAAAATGACTGAATGAACGACACACGGATTGACTCTCCACAGCAGTGGTGCTCAATACGTCGATCCTGATCTACCAGTCGATCGCCAAGGTCGTGTGGGTAGATCGCCGTGTCTCGTCTCAGACTCGATCGCGTTTGGACTCGGTCTTGTCTCAACAAGTGTGATCATATTTCATTCCGGCCGCTGCTGTTGGTAATAAACTTGTAGCGGGTGCAGGAGCGTGTGGGGCGTCTCAGTGCAGCCTGTGCGCTCATTTGAAACCCGCGGAGACTCTACGGCGCATCACAAACACACACGCTCCCTACACACGGCTCGTCTGCGACAGCGTGTGCCCTCGTGTACCAGCGTGCATCACAGGGCAGATTAAACTTCCTAAACATCCTACCTGTCCATCTGCCTCACGTCAGCACGCCGCCCCTCGCCTTTTCACGCTCTCACCTTCCTGCGTACAGCCAACACAAGCCCCTCCCACAGTGCGGCTGATTAGAAGAACAAGACAAAACGTGGAGCAAAAACCAGTCTAAATTTGTGTTCCAGTGTTGGCACAAAGCAGGTCTACAGCATAGAGCGGATCTACAGAACAGACCTACTGCCACATTTGGCTGAACTTTGTCTAACAAAAGTGCACAAATCATTGGGACAGAGGAAAACAAACATCGCCGCTGGATTAAAGCAGCAATCGAAATACGGAAACGTACCCACAGGACTGTAAACCAGGACGAGGGGCTTTTTTACTCTCACACACCTGGGATACTGTCCTGAGGAAGTCGGACTGCAGATGGCGCTGTCGTCCTGCCTCCACCGGTAGGAAGACAGCGCCAAAACCTGTTTAAATCAGGTGACCGGACACATCACAGCAACATCACGTGACTCTGAGGAAGACGCTAGTGAACAGTCGGAACTGTCAGGTATGAAATAACACTCTCGGTCTGAAAAAAAGAACCTAATAACATAGAATATCGGAAGACCAAATGAATCTCATTGGACTAAAAGTGCACAAATGCATCTGTGTTTGTCACGATGTGCGTTTGGTTTGGTAAACGTGCAGAGGCTGGTAAATATCACTGCAAAACCAGAAAAGAATGTAACTCCAGTTTGGAATTTTAAAAAACAGGTTTAAAAATCTTCCTTCACTTTTTTCACAGTTTTGTGTAAAGTGCCAGAGGAAGTTCTCTTAAAGAAGAGGTTCTTAAACTGTGGGTGAGGGTCCAAAAAAGGGGCACAGAGTGTTTCAGTGCAGTTTGTTTGGCTTTGTATCAGGTCGATCATTTTGTCTTGGTCATTTTGTAAGTAGCTCACATGATGAAAAAGTGTGAACACCTCTGATCTACAGTATTTTCTGTTTGTCATGTGGCCCTGATCTGTGGGAAAAACGCGTCTGAGAAATGACTTCATCACACTGTCACGTCTGAAAAGCATCTGAAAACCACAGGTGAGGTTTGACTTTGACGTGACACCGCAGACACGAGCGTCACAAACGTCGCGAGCGTCAGACGGATCGTTCCCTGGAGCGTCCGGAGCCGCTCGTCCCGCTGAAGTTTTTCCCGAACAAACGACAGAGGAAAGAAAAACCCGGAGCAGAACAAACGACGGTGAAGCTCCACCGCCGTGTTTGTCATGAGTCACCAGCGTTTCATCCCGACGCTGCCGCAGACGTGAAAGAGTTCTCCAGTTTGTAGAGAAGAAAAAGAAAGAACCATTCTCTCCGTTCCTTTCTCTCTCTCCCTCCTGCTCTCACTCTCTTTTTTTTTTCTTTTCTGTGAATGTTTTGAATTCAAACCAGTTTTTCCAGTTCTCCAGGTAAATGACAGAAGTGACCCAAAGAAAATTTCCCACGAAGATCAGACAGAACAGAACCAGAAGAACAGAACCAGAGGAGAAGAACCAGAGGAACAGAACCAGAAGAACAGAACCAGAGGAGAAGAACCAGAGGAACAGAACCAGAAGAACAGAACCAGAGGAACAGAACCAGAAGAACAAAACCAGAGGAGAAGAACCAGAGGAATAGAACCAGAAGAACAGAACAAGAGGAGAAGAACCAGAGAAGAACAGAACCAGAGGAACAGAACCAGAGGAACAGAACCAGAGAACCAGAACAGAACAGAGAACAGAAAGAACAGAACCAGAAGAAGAACCAGAGGAACAAAACCAGAGGAGAAGAACCAGAGGAATAGAACCAGAAGAACAGAACAAGAGGAGAAGAACCAGAAGAACAAGAACAGAGAAGAACAGAACCAGAGGAACAGAACCAGAGGCGAAGAACCATAGGAGAAGAACTAGAGAAGCAGAACCACAGGAGAAGAACCAGAGGAGAAAAACCAAAGGAACAAGAGGAGAAGATCCAGAGAACATCTCTACAATCATACGAGTCAGTTGTTTCATTTTTAGCAGCAGAGTTTGTTCTGAGCGTCGGGTTCTGTACAAACACAAACACACTGACCTGCAGCTGCTCGGTGGAGCTGGAGCTCAGGTCGGACTCGGACTCGTGGCTCCAGGACTCGTTCTGGTGACTGTCCACGTCCAGAGGTTTCCTCTGCAGCTCCGGGGAGCGCCCCCTGGAGCGAGGGAGGGTACTGCCACTGCTGCTGTGTCTGAGGAGACCCGGAGGGTCGGGGGCCCGCTCCGAGTCCCACTGCCCCGAGTCGGGCCCCGAGGTGGGACTGTGGAGCGGACTGTCCCCGGACTGTGCCGAGCGCCGCCGCGAGCGCGACTCCCGCCGACCCAGACCCTCCCCCGGCAGCTCCAGGGCGCCCGGTTTGACCCAGAGGGAGGGGGCGGGGCCGGGCTGAGAGGGGGCGGGGCCTGTCTCAGAGGGGGCGGGGCCGGGCTGAGAGGGGGCGTGTCCCGGCGGGGGCTTGGGCGGCGTGGAGGGGGCGTGTCTCGGGGGCATGAGCGCCTTGCGGACCTCGCGGACGTACTGCGCCGGGACGTAGAAGGCTTTGGAGGCTTCATCGCGCCGCACCTGCCACCAGTCCTCGTTCGTCTTCTTCACCAGCAGGAAACACTCGCCCGCTCGGATCGAGATCAGACGGTCCTTGGACTTGTACTCGTAGTCGTACTCCACCTCCACGTACGGCTGCCCGGGGGCGAGCGGCAGGCCGGTCATGGCGCCCGTGGACGGCGGGGCGGAGCATCAGCTGTGGACAGAGACAGAGAGACGTGAGGAGGACATAAAGACATGACGAGGACGTGAGGACATAAGGACGTGAGGACATAAGGACGTGAGGACATAAGGACGTGAGGACATGAGGAGGACGTGAGGAGGATTTCAAAACACTGTTCTCTTGTGAAATCCGCACGTTTAAAGTGACGACGTTGATCTGAGGAGGAAGTTACATCAGAGCTTCCTGTTCCTGTCACGTTTCTGATTTCACAAAAACAAACGAACTCAACTGGAACTAAATCACAAACTCAAGTCCTCAGTCCTGGTTTAGTCCTGGTTCAGTCCTGGTTTAGTCCTGGTTCAGTCCTGGTTTAGACCTGGTTTTGTCCTTGGACGTGTTTTAAACATTAACTTTGAACTGAATCTTTTTATTAAACCATAAATCTCAAATCTAATCACCGTCCTGTCAGAAAAAACTGTTCTCTGTAACTGTAGTGGTGCAGTAAAAGAAAAAAAAAAAAAAAAAAAAAGTTAAAATACACACAAAAAAAAAAAAAACACCACAAAAACTAAAAAAAAAAAAAAAAAAAAAAAAAAAAAAGTAAAAACACACACACTCACAAAATATATAGAAATAAATTACAGATGTATTCTCTAAAAAAAATATAACCCCCATCAAAAAAAACAACAACAAACAAACAAAATTACATATGTATTCTCTGTAAATGTAGTGGTGCAATAAAAAAATAAATAAAAATAAAATACTGAAAAAAATACAGAAAAAGTGGCGCAGTAAAAAAACAAAAAAACATAAAAAATCAATAACACACACACACACACAAAATTAAATAAAATAAAAATAAATACACAAAAAACAAAACAAAAGTACAGAAGAAAATGACATGTATTTTCTGAACTGTAGTGGTGCTTTAACAAACACGACTGTAACAAATGAGGTTTTTTATTTTTATACACTGAGACTCCATGTCCCATAATCCTCTGTTCTAATGTAGTTTACATCAAGACTCCATGTCCCATAATCCTCTGTTCTAATGTAGTTTACATCAAGACTCCATGTCCCATAATCCTCTGTTCTAATGTAGTTTACATCAAGACTCCATGTCCCATAATCCTCTGTTCTAATGTAGTTTACATCAAGACTCCATGTCCCATAATCCTCTGTTCTAATGTAGTTTACATCAAGACTCCATGTCCCATAATCCTCTGTTCTAATGTAATTTACATCAAGACTCCATGTCCCATAATCCTCTGTTCTAATGTAGTTTACAAAGAGACTCCATGTCCCATAATCCTCTATTCTAATATAGTTTACATCAAAACTCCATGTCCCATAATCCTCTATTCTAATGTAGTTTACACCGAGACTCCATGTCCCATAATCCTCTATTCTAATGTAGTTTACATCAAGACTCCATGTCCCATAATCCTCTGTTCTAATGTAGTTTACAAAGTCCATGTCCCATAATCCTCTATTCTAATATAGTTTACATCAAAACTCCATGTCCCATAATCCTCTATTCTAATGTAGTTTACACCGAGACTCCATGTCCCATAATCCTCTGTTCTAATGTAGTTTACATCAAGACTCCATGTCCCATAATCCTCTGTTCTAATGTAGTTTACACTGAGACTCCATGTCCCATAATCCCCTGTTCTAATGTAGTTTACATCAAGACTCCATGTCCCATAATCCTCTGTTCTAATGTCGTTTACATCAAGACTCCATGTCCCATAATCCTCTGTTCTAATGTCGTTTACATCAAGACTCCATGTCCCATAATCCTCTGTTCTAATGTAGTTTACACCGAGACTCCATGTCCCATAATCCTCTGTTCTAATGTCGTTTACATCAAGACTCCATG